GACCGTAGTTTCTGGTTTCTTCCAAGCCATTTGACTGAACCTGCCACCAAAAATCACCCTGTAAACAAAGAAAAAGGCACGAACCGCCTCCAGGTACTATGAACAATTTCCAGAAGCTTCTTTGGGGTTCCCTTCCTCAAACCTGCATCCTAGGTTTCAAACAAATACGACCCCTGACCTTCAGCATGGCGATCTCTCTTTGCTCCACGGTCTGGCTTGTCTGGGAGCAGGAGCCAGGCTGACACATTTCAGACAAATCCCAGCAGCCCACTTCCTGTCCCAGCCCAATTTCTACAGGGAAGCCCTCCCTCCACCTCTCCTTGGGTACCAGGTAACTGGATTGATGGAGCCTCCTTCACCGCCTCTCCCAGCGAACTTCTCATAACCCGATGCATAAATAATCACATGTTTTATAAATAGCTGTGGACAAGAGGCTGTAAAACAACGAAGATATATTTGTGCCTTTATGTCCTAGGAATATTTTCTAAAACGACTGTTTTATTTGGTGTGGGTTGAATGGGGGCCTGTGTATACATAACAATCCCCAAAGTTTTCCTCTGCCCCCGCCCCCTCCGCAGGTCAGGCCAGCACTATAGTTAGCAAATTGATAAGGTTCCATGGGCAAGCTTTATTCGTTCTGACACAAGCCTATGACACTTTATAAAAAGAAGTAATCCAGAACAATCTCTAGGTAATTAACACCTAGATAAACAAACATAAATTTCTATATTGCATTTATTTGGACTACCACTCAAATATGCGTGAACCATGCTTTTTTAATTAAAAGATAAATCCATGTGACACTTAGCCTCAAACTTAATTATTCAGCATAGTATAATAAAAAATAGAGCCCATTAAATGTGTCTTGCACTGTATTTCTGTATTAACAGCAAAACAGTTCGGTCTGGGATCATTTAAATTTTCCCCCTCCTCTTTGCTTGTGATTTCCCTGTTCACATAAGCCTTTCCCCTCTCTCTCTCTCTCTCTCTCTCCTTTGCACCCCCCTCCCACTCCACCGATATCTCTCCTTTCTCTTAACACCAACAGGTGAAGAGATTTAAACTCTGCACAAGCCCCTACATGGAATGCTCAGCTGGGCGACATTTTTAATATTGCATTACAATATGAATTTTTTCCTTCCCCATGGAAACATACCTCTAGTTTGGTGGAACGTGCCCAGCCCTTCTATCTTGAAATGAAGATCACAATATTTAATACTAATTTCCTTGGGATTGTGCTTACAACCCACCAGGTGAGGTTTTCATAATATACTGTTACAATACAGATGTTAAACAGAGATGGGGAAGTATGCAAATCCCAAACTACAAAAGACAGCAGGGTTATCATCTTTATAAAAGTTTCTCAGCACAAAATAGTATCTTAATGCTCAGCAGCTTCTGGTTACTGGGAAGAGAAATTCATGCTTGAACCATTCCTCACCTGGGTGTCTGTTCAGTCACTCAAGAAGAATGTATCAAGTGATGCTCATGTGCCAGGCCCCAAGAAAAGCACTCTGTGTACCCCGTGACCTTTCATCCTTTGCAGCAAATGTGCTATGGCAAGAAAGATTCTAATCCAAGTTACACATTGACAAATGACTCTGATCCCCCTTGTTCCCATGGCTCCCCTGCATGGGCCTTACAGCGGTGTCCTCTGTCACAGACAACTGTGGCTTTGGTTTAGCCAAAAGAAGTGTCTGAGAAGAAGTGGGCTTCCATCTAGGATGATCAAACATTCAGGTTTTTCCAGGACGTCCCTGGTGTTAGCCTTGAAAATCTCATGACCTGGGAAACCCCTGGGTCCCTGGCAAACCCTATGTAGGCTCCACCAGTAGATGATGTTGTAATTGGCATTGGCCAGTCGCTCACAGAGGGATCAGCTGGAATGGATGAAGATCCTGCACTGGTACCTGGAGACTTCCTCCTACCTGCTCCTTTTCCCAGGGGACTGGGGTATCTAGATGCAAGAGATATCAGACGTCCTCTCAGATCCTGTTCCTCTATTGGAGACGTCATATTGTGCATTGTGTTGTGTTGACTCTTATCTTGCCTGAGCAGGGTCAGGAAGCTGTGCATCTGTAGAATGACACCACTATTTCCATCTTGTCAGGGGTGGCTAGCCATTGTCATTTTGGAGAATAGTCTTTCTGATTTGGTGGCATCCAGCTTACCATCCACACAGCTCTCTGTGTACACTCTCATTTAACCTGAGAAAGAATCTTGTGCTGTTAACGGTGATTTTCCACCTTATAGTTGAAGCAATAGATTTGAAGAAATGCCTGGGCTTTGTGAGCACATCTTCCACCACCTGGCCAGCTCTCCTCATCTCTGAGTTTGCCTTTGACTCTGCAGGAAGTCTTTAATCACCTGGGAAATCCCTGTTCTCCTTGAATCTCCTCTTCCAGATAGTTCATATTTTTTTAAATATTTTTTTAGACATTGATGGACCTTTATTTTATTCATTTATTTATATGTGGTGCTGAGAATCAAACCCAGTGCCTCACACATACTAGGCAAGCACTCTGACACTGAGCTACAGCCCCAGCCCCTCATATTTATTTATTTGATGATCTTATTAAAGTCTGTTTTCTCCTTAGACAGTGGTCTGGGGGGCTGAATTGACAACGTATCTCTATCTCATAGTGCAATGCCTGGCACATAGTAGTAGTTCCTTGGTAAATAGTTGTTGAACTAGTGGGACAACATCTAACTCCAAGATCCATTCTTTTCTTCTTGGATTCTCTCTTTCCCCAGCCATCTCTCTCCTACCCTCAAGAATGGTAAAAGACTTACTAATAATACTCCAACTTTCCAAATGAAGAAATTAGGGAAAACAAAAATGTAAGACATTTTTTCCAGGTTTATCTTAACTGAAGGAAACAGGTGTAGAGGAATCCCACTCAACTGACTATAAGGACCCTTTCCAAAGCATGAGGATTTTATTTAGTGTATAGCTTTTGTGGGCATGAAATTAATATCCAATGTATCCATAACTTATTATACCACAGGAGTCAGGAAACCTAAGCATTTGCAGAGTACTTTACAAAATTTGCACATAATTTCCCAACCTTCTTTCATTTAATTCTCATAATTTTTCTGATATGATCAATGAACTCAGAACAGTTAAACTGTTCATGATTGTGCATCCAATAAGTGGGTAGAGTTAGTGCTCAAATTTAGGTCATTACACCCCAAATTTTGTATTCTTCACACTGTGCTGAATTTATCAGTCAATTCTCCAATTGTTTATGGCTATTAGCTCAAAAATATGTTGATGGGAAGTATGTATATGGATGCTTATACATATCTTAAAAATACCTCCTACTTCCAATTTTATTTTTATTTTCTATAACAGTTTTATTGAGATATAATTCACATACCATAAAACTCACTCTCTTAAAATGTACAATTCAGTGGGTTTTAGTATATTCACAAAGTAGGCCAACCATCATTCCTATCTAATTTTAGAACATTTTTATCAACTCGAAAAGAAACTTCATCTTCATTAGCGGTCACCCTCCACTCTCCCCCACCCCCAGCCCCTGATGACCACTAATCTTCTTTCTGTCCTTATAGATTTGCCTATTCTGGACATTGCATAGAAAGGAAATCATATTATATGTGGCTTTTTTCAATGTTTTCAAGGTTCATGTTGTAATATTTCTCAGTGTTCTTTATTCCTTTTTGTGGAAGAATAATATCACTTTCTTCTGATTCAGCACACTTTGTTCATCCACCCATTGCAGTTTTTTAAAACAAAATTTGAGCCAAAATGGAAAAATTAGAAGACTTGACCAAAAAAAAAAAAAAAAAAACCAAGTGCCTAGTACCTCATAATGCCACATCCCTATGGGAAGGTGCTCTGAAGGGTTCTTCAGCCCTTCAGAGGGTGCTCTCTCAGCCCACAGGAGATCCTATCTTTCTTGGGCTTCTCTCCTTGCCACCGTGATGTCTCTCTGGCCCCTGTGGGTTTATTCCCCACCATGGATGTAGTTTGGGCAAAAGTTAGGACCTCTCCTGCAAACTTCTACATCAGTCTTTCTTCCCTAACGTGTTCATCCGAACAGTAAGGACCGTTACCTTCCACTCACCTGTGATGTTGGTAATAACACACAGTCCAGACTGATGACAACGTCATTGAACTCATCTGCTTTCACCCAAGGACCCCAATGGTCTCACACTCTGAAAGACAGTGAGCTTACAAATTCCTGGGGAATATGAGCAGCTGTGTGTGCTTGCAATACTCCAGGGCCCTCCATATTCCAGAACCTTGGCATGCACTATACAAGCTTGTTTTTGAGACCAAAATAAAATAACAAACACACAAAAAAAGAAAAAAAAATCAAAAAGAAGCTCTGTACATCAAGCATGGAGCATACACTTCAAATCCTTTCAAATCAATGTCAGGGATCTGCTTTTCTGTAGCCCCTGATACCATAGACTTTATTATTCTTTGTTCTATTCCTTTTCTTCTAGAGGAAGAATTCAGACTCTCCTTTGATAATTTGGAGGTAAAAGACTTCCTTGCACATAATGATTTTTTTTTTTTAGAAAAAGAAAAAAAAAAACTTACTACCAGCAAAGGGGAATATCAGACCCCAATGCTTTAAGTGTTTTATATAATTAATATGACAAGCATAAGTATTTTCATAAGTTTACATTACTGAAACCAATGTCTGCAAACATTTAAAAAAGTATAGTGCATCCATGAGCTTGCATGTGCACACACACATACGCGCACACACACATACACACTGCAGAGATACTCATTCAACTTGAAAAAGTAGAATGAAGATCATCCATACTACACAATATTACAGGACTTTTTATACGTGGTGTTTCACCCAGTCTTGCCAAAGTCTGACCAACCTAGAAAAATATGTTTTACTCTCCATAGTAAACATAAGCAAATAGGAAAAAGATGTTTCTTTCTTTTTTTTTTTTTTTTTTTAATCTGGAGGTAGAGGTTTTATTGCATAAAACACTGGATAAAACCGGTCTGCTTCAAAGACATTTTATTCTAACAGCAGAAAGAAAACAGTCATTGCTGAAAAAACAACTTTTAATACTTTCTATACCAGAATAAAGTTCTGTCAACTGATGTATTATAATAATAAATAATGACCAAGAATAAACTTTAAATACAAAGTCTTCTACTTGTTACAAGCATAGCAACAAAATCCTCTACTCTATTGATCTCAGATTTCCTCCAAGATAGATTTTTTTGTTGTTGTTCTTTGCGTAGGAATGTAGACAGTATTATGACCAGCATCACAGACTACAGAAGTTACAGGGAAAAAACTTGACATGTTTAGATATGAGAACCTGATGACATTCAGAAACTGACACTGTATCACGGCGGCTGTCACTTGTTTGTATTACAAGTTACAAATGTTCTGGAAAAGAGGCCTGTGTCAGAGGGGGGAAATAAGGACGGTAGCACTGGACAAAATGGAATCAACACACACGCCACAAAGAAGAGGGGATGTTCCCGGTGTCACAAACAGAATTATTGCCTGTCGCATCTGACGATGCCCAGAAGACACAAGAGAATACTGAAAAAGAGCTCCGAAAGTGCTAGAAATGGAATGTGGCTCTCATTTTTTTTTTCACTTTTTTTTCCCTTTTTTTTTTTTCATTTTTCTTTGTTTTTTTTTTTTTCTTCTTTTTTTCTTTTTTTTAATTTTTCTTTGCTAAGATACCAAAGGCGGGGCAAACACACAGAAAGCAAGCGACTGGCACAGTCACCAAACACAGTAGTGCAGTTAAAATCCTAAAGCTTACTACAGTCAGAAAGTTTTCAATAACATTTTCAGTCCTTTCTCTAGGATCATAGAAACAGTTGCATTAAGTTTATCAACTCGATTTAAGTAAGGCAGTGAAAACTAGACTAGAAAAACAAGAAAGCAGCCTGCTCTATGCCAGATGGGTCCAAGTTGCACATCGACCTCATTTACACTGAAACCTCGGTTAGATGACACCCTTTTGACAGCATATGCAAACCGGATTCCTTATTAGCCTGAGATTCTTTCTGGTCTCAGGATAGCTCTAAGAATTATATTTACATTGATTGCAGTTTAGTATTTTTGTAAACTGCTGTAGGCAGAGCTAAAGTTTTTAAGGCCCTGGGGTTTTATTGTGTGCTCCCAGCCTGCAAGGAAATATTGACTATTTTTTTTTTAAGTCTGAATGATTCTGTTTTAGAAGAAGTTAATACTTCAATACTTCTCTACCATCACAAGCAACAGCACCAATTTCATGTCACTCAAAGAAGTATATGGTAAAGGCAGAACTTTTAGACCGTTCGTGTGGATTCAAGAATAAACCTTGGACTAGTTTTCTTAAATCTGTCTTAAAAAAAAAAAATTGAGTGTTTTATTGTTGACCCTCAAAATCTCCCTCTGTGTGGTGTAGAACTTGATAAAATTTTGGAGTATCCAATCAGTAGAAAAATCTAAAATCTACAAAAATATAGAACACATTTGTTTTACAAAAACAGACATTTTAACTCAAACAGTTTTCTTCATCAGAGATAGAGAGCAGGATGTTTAGATTCATATTTTAATACAAGCTATTTCATAAGTGCTTGCTGGAGAAGAAAATCGTGCTTCATGTCTGCGACACTTATAAAAACTAACATACGGGGGAAAAATCTGATAACGGGGGACCAGAACAGCCTTCGAAGTTCAAGTAAAATTTTAAAAATCATAATCAGAGACAATCTTTCCGTTATGACATAATTGCCATTTCTCACCGACACTTTTTATGGATAGGGTTGGCTGATTTTCCTAACAGCATTTGGTATAATATACCCTTAAAAATATTTTTTTTAATATCAACCTTCATCCAAAATTTAAAAAAAAAGAAATCAACAAGAAAAAAAAATGTCTCTCAATACTGCAATTTGATCTAAAAAAAGGAATTACTCATCAAGCCTGCAATGGACAATTGTCTGCAGACACTTCCTGACCATTGATTCATTTGGCTGTGTATTTTTTTAAAAAATGCACATTTAAGATGGCAATCCTCTGCAGTGCTGGTCAGCCCTGGCGCTGGCTGCGGGCCGTCTAAGGTTTCTCCCAGAGTGCAGAACGACACCACGTGAATTGATTTTTCTCTGCAGTGACCGCTCCAGCCTGACTGGCACCGCAGCTGCCTCCCAACACATCTCATTAGGGTGCTAGGCAAATGGCAGCAGCTGGTGTCAGATTATAGAGGTGTTTTCAACAACGAAAACACAGCCCCTCCGTCTTCAAGGCAACGTTAAATCATTTAGATGGTATCGCTTTTCGGATAAGAGCATTATTTTTGGACAAAGAGGAGTTGGAAGGGACCCCAGCTTTCTCGAAGGACACCAAGCATTTTTTTTTTTTAAATCACTTTTCTCCTACCTGCATTGTTTGGAAGTACTTGTTGCCGGGTAACAGTTTAGCAGCCATGTTCAAGGGCTGGGGGATTTTTTTTTTTTAATATATATATAGATATCTTTTAAATTTTTTTTAAATGTTCTATACACTAGTGGGGCGGGGGGGTTGTACATGATTTTTTTCCCCCCTTGGAATTCAGTTAGCAAACTCTTTTATGAGATGCATCATCTTAAAACTGGGTAAAATAATATTGCAGTGTACAGCAGGTCTGCTCAGTTGGTCTCCTCTTGGCCCTTGCAGACCTCCTCTGTTAGCTCCGCTGAGCTCCCCGCCTTGAGACCTGTGGGCTCCTCAAAGTTCCCTGAAGCCTCCGAGTCAACTCTGGAGCGCTTGAACCTGCGATCGGGATACTGGCTGTTGTCAAAAGGCATGCGATGGACGCAGAGGACGTGGGTCTTCAAGTTCCCCTTCTGAGAGGCACTGTAGGGACAGTAGCGGCACTGGAAAGGCCTGTGACCTAAGGGGGGGAAAAAAAGTGGCCGGTCAGAGTGCTGTGCTCACACCTCCCTGCCCCAATGCTCAAAGGACCATTATCACCAACACGTCATGTTATTCTTAATAAGGCTTTTTGAAAATCAAATAGGAAATGATAGGAAAGCAACCAGTACATTAGATACATAAACTAGGATTTAAAATAACTCTTCATTATAACCAGAGTTTTTAACCCAGACATTTTAGGGGAAGAAGAGAAAGCACCTAATACCTGCATTTTTTTTTTCTATAAAGAGTTAGATTAAAAAAAAAAAGTTTAGGCCAAGAAAGAGGTGAAATTAAAGATATTCTGTAAATACTTTCAGAACAGGAAATAAATTACCCCACCTTTTCTATGGATGAAACGTTAAAACTTTAGTTATGAACATTGAAATTCGAATTTCACCTAATTTTCGGGTGTGATAGGATATTCTCATTTGGGATTTTTTCCAATTTTTTTTTTTTAATGTAAAAACCATTCTCACCAAGCTCTCACCAGCTGTACTAAAACAAACCAGAGGCAGATCCGGCCCACAAACTATACTTTGCCGACTCTTGCTCTAACACAAAAACCATAAATCCCTCCATCTGGGAGACTGACTCAGGTCTCAATGCAAAACCAGTTCACTTTCTTATCCTCCCATGAACTCTTTATTGACGAGCAAAGCAAGCATGACGAGGGAGTGTGTTTGGAGGGTGAAGTGTGAGAGGGATGCTAATGGAGCTTGCTCTGAGGCAGGGGTGGAAGGGCTGAGCTGGGGGGATTTGTAGAAGCTGAGAATTTTCAGGGGAGACAGCAGAAGGTATCAGGGGAGTAACCAGGCTGATCAGGGGTGATCAGATAGTCAAGGCCCAGTGTGAGTTTTAAAGAAGTTAGATTTGAAGAGTGACCCCTGAAATGGAACTCTTCTAGAAAGGTTCTAATTTAGAACAGAAGGACTTTTATGGCAATCCACCTAATCCTCCCTGTTTGATCTCTGCCTTTCTACCTTATACAGGAGCACAGGAGACTCACATCTGCCTTTTTTTTTTTTGTATCAGGGATCTAACCGAGGTGCGCTGTACCACTGAGACAGATTCTCAACCTTATTTTATTTTATTTTTTTATTTTAAGATAGTCTCACTAAGCTGCTGAGGCTGGCCTCCAACTTGCGATCCTCCTGTCTCAGCCTCTCAAGAGGCTGGAATTACAGACATGTGTCACCACGCCCAGCTCATTCTGTTGCCTTGAAGAACTGTTGGTCAAGTACCTGGTTGGGAAACTTACAATGGACTGATCGCATTTCCTCTGATGCTGGGAAGTTGATGTCCCACTCCTGGGGGTTCATGAACGCTGTCCCACTCAGCACCCTGAGAGGTCAAAATCCACAGCTGGGCTTCATTTGCTCAGAAAAATAAACAAGCAAATATATGGGCCAAACCATTTACCCCAGAAAATATCCAAACAGCATAGTCAGCACCTTTTCTAGAACAGTCATAACATGAATCCTGAGTATCTAATTAACAAAACAGTCTTGTCCCTGAGAATGTAGAAGCCACCAAATGTTGGTTGTTGGAGCTCAACTTCCCACCAAATTGGACCCAAGGCTACATTCTTGCTTCACATTCTCTCTCTTGCCCCATCACGAACTCGTCTCTAGGACCAATCTGTTCTACTTGTTGAGTCCTTCTCTTTTCAATCCCCCCTTCAGGCTGGGTACGCTGGGCACCGACTCTTGCCTGGACTGTGACCATGGCAGTCTACGGAAAGGTCTTCATGCTTCTGATTTCCCACCCTCTAGTCCACCCTCCCTCCCCGGGGCCACCAGAGTGAGCCCTTGGAGGAGAAGCTCAGTCTCTGATTTCTTTGCCCCAAATCCTTGATGGCAAATCCTACCCCAAAGGAGTAATCAGGGTAGGCCTGGTTCAGCCCGAACATCTTTCCAGTCTCCTCTAGAGCATTCCCCTTATCTCACAGGTGGCCTCTGCCAATAGGCTTCATTTATGACCTTGCTGGAGTCACTCTCCCTGAAAGGTCATTTCCATTATCTTCAGGTCTAAACCCCAGTCCTCTTCTGAGACTCTGCTCAACGAGGTGCCTGCTTTGTGGACTCCTGTGTGTGTGTATATATATATATATAGTGATCCCCCAGAGGCCACGCATTCCTGAGGCAGGAGTCATGCCCCAGCACCCAGCACTGAGGAAGCTGAACTATGATTATCTTTCTGCTTCACCTTGTCTTTGTTCAAAGCAATTGTAAGTTTGGGGGCAGAATTTTTGCTTCTTTTGTTTCCACCGTTGTGCCCAACACAAGGCTCAAGTTGATCAACTTTCCCACTTGCAAAAGCCAACGTGCAAACATCTTGGATGTTGGAGATAAGAACAAAATGAAGCACAAGAAAAATGCACTTGCCTTTGGTTTGTTCCTGACACCCTACCAGGGCAAGAGGAATGCAGAGCATTAGCGGCCAGGACTTGGGCCATGATTACCAAGAAAGAGAAAGATTCCCCAGCAGGATTCCTCTCCTGCCTTTCCCCTTACCCAGCTCTGCCCGTGGGGTTTGGTCACCTCTCCCTCAGATGCAGAGAAGGCCCTGGGTTGGGTGGGGAAGAAAACTGAAACTAATATTTCTAATGCAGATCTGGGATTGTACAAGGAATAGAGATGGTCCTTGTTCTTCACCATCTTGGAATTGGGGCAGAGACCCAGGGCAGAATTAGGATGCTGCTGTGGTTCTGACCGGATCTAATTGTGTTCCCCAAAGTTTCATGCATTGGAGGCTTAGTTCCCAGTGTGGTGACGTCAAGAGGTGGTTGAACCTCTAAGAGGTGGGGACCAGGGGACACTGGCTAGGTCACTGGGGTCACTGTCCTCAGAAGAGATTCATGCTGCTCTCAAGGGAGCCTGATTAATTCATGTTAGAGCAAGTTATTATAAAAGGAGAAAGTCTGACCTCTAAATATCTCTTCGCTCTTATTTTTCCATATGACTCTCTCCCTCTTGAACATGCTCATGCCATAATGCTGTCTTCCATGTTGTGATATGGCCAGAAGTCACAACAGAGTCAAACAGAAGCTAATCCTGTGCCCTTAAATCTCCAGAACTATTAACTAAATAAACTTTTTTTCTCTACAACGTACTCAGTCTCAGGGATTTTGTTACAGCAATGGATGAAAGACTAAAATGAGTGTCAGTTGGAAGCACTGGCATAGAGAAAACCATGCTTATTCTCACTACCAGAAGAGTGGACTAAGTCAGGGCTAACTTGGATTCCAGTGAGTTTCAAGAGGTCTTCCTATCCAAACAGTTCTGAGAGAATATTGAACCTCTAGAATTCTACCATCAATACATGAAGTTGCCATCTCTGTGCACATTAAGCTGTGTCCAGCTCTTACTGAGAAAGGACTTGAGTTTTTCTGAAAGAAAAATTAGCAGGAGGAAGTAGAGCTCAAAATTATAGCTGGAGACCTAAGGCATAGAAGATCATTAAAAAAAAAAAATCAGGAAACGCTGAAATGCCAGGAAACCCAAGAAACACTTGTTTAAGGTTTTGTCCAAATCCTTTCACAAATGGATGGTACTTTAATGTTCCCACCAAGGGCAACTGACTGTGGCAACTCACGTTTTAGGAGAGAACACTGTCCACCATTTGATTTAACTTTATGGTAATAATTTGGTCGTAGAAAACATCACCATGATGACGTGTCTTTGGAGTTAAGAACTCCAATTGATAAGTAAATGAAAATTAAAAATAAACTTTTGGCACCCTGAAGCAAAGAGAGTAGCAGAGCTATGAAGCCAAATGACCAAGGCATGGATGGTTGGAGTCTTAGCTCAGTTCACTAAGATCAGATTGGCTCTTCCATTCTTCAACTGTTTCTGTTCATCAGCCAAAGCTGTTTATTATATTTTCTATCATCATTGCTGAATAATAACTTCATTTAGGAATCGCACTCTGCAACCTTTGGAAAAGCTGCCCTCTCTGCAAACATTATCTCCCCAGGAGCCAAGCAACTTGTCTCTTGGCACACTAAACGAAGGACTTCAGATATCACCTTTATTTGCAATGAGAGCCTTTTTGAATTGGCCAAGTTGGTATAAAAGCACTTAGTACATTTTTCTCCACCAATCGATTTTAAAATATTCATCATGATTTGATCCTATGGTTACATTTTGAAACTCCATTTCTTGGTAGAGTCAAAGATGATGTACGATAATTCTGGCAGATTTGGATACTTCAGCTGTCAAACCATGATTGAATTGGTTTTCTTTTTAACTTTGTTGCGATGGAAATCTATTTGTAAATGCATCTAAAGCTAGGCGTGCCTACGTTTGTAGAAGGACGTCCATGCGATACGGGAATCATAAGAAATCCTGATCTTATAATATGCCTTATAAGTAGAAACATTTTAGATAATAATAGTAGCTCCCCAACACCCCGAAGACCTACATTCTACAATTCTTCACTTTTGTTTCTGCATGTTTATCTTCATACAGGGGCTTTATGGCAATGTTGTCAAGGGGTAATGTCCACTTCTTTGGACAGAAAAGAAAGTTAAGATGCAGCAAACCTGGAAGATTTAATTTTAGAACAAATTTCCAATGAATATAAAATGCTCAGATCCTTTAATTCTCCAAAATCCTTACAAGGATTATGATTACAATGTGTTTTCATGGGATAAAACACACACACACACACACAAATACATCATCTATGCTGATTATAATACATTTCTGTTATTTTTAACATTTACATATGCATAATACACACGTGTTGCTTAGTGTATAATTATAATGCATTTTGTTATATAGATTAATATATTATTTAAACACTCACACACATCCCCCTGAGATGTCGATGGAAATTCTCCATGAGACTCAATTAAAAGCAAGTGCTGGGAAGAAACTTGGGGTTCCCTCTGTGGGAAGGGGATTGGAGAAGTCATGATATATCCAGAGGAAAGCATTCTGATCTCCCAAGAATCAAATTTCAGCAAAAGGCTGA